GCCCTCCGGGACTGTCAGCAAGAAGGTTGTCACCAGATGTGACATCACTGGCACCTCCAGAACCCCAACCAGGATAAACCTCTCTTTTCCAGAACGAGCCACGAGTTGATGTCCAGTCCCCACTCCCCGAGGTGGGCAGCTGCCAGGTCCACCTGGGGGTGAGAGGCAGCTGGCACAGTGTGGGGCTCTGGTGGAGGGGCAGGAAGACGACTTTCCATGTGTTGGCCGCAGTGAGACCCTTGGCCACGTGCAGCAAAGCCCGCCGGCGGTAGCTGGCTCGGTGGGTGGCCCCTGCCTGTGGCAGCCTGGCCTTGGAGCAGGGGCCTCACYTTCTCAGGGCTTAGAGGAAGAGCCAGCTCCTAAATGGGCAAGTCCACTGTGAGCCAGCTGCCTAGTGCTGGGAGACCAGGGTCCCCATGGGACTTGCTCTGCGGCCAAAAATAGCTGCAGAGACATCCCACACTCGTGTGGCCCTTGTGCTGTGCATGGTGACTTGGTCGCCAGGTCCTCTTGCTGTGCATGGTGACTTGGTCGCCAGGTCCTCTTGCTGTGCGTGGTGACTTGGTCGCCAGGTCCTCCTGCTGTGCATGGTGACATGTGATGTGACATTTTTCACATTCTGTGTACCACATCATACCAGGGACGGGAACCAGGATTTTGCCGTAGGAGGACGAGGCAGGCAGTGAGAGCCCTCGGTCAGCAAGTGAGGGGACAGCAGCTCCCTCCTGCGCYGCCCCTGAGAGGCTGAGGCGGTGGACTGTCCAGCTCCTGGGGGTGAGGACGGCGCTGTCCCGGTAGTTCTTCCCTCAGGGCTGAGTCTGGAGGACAGTTCTGTGGAGTCCTGCCTCCTGGTGACAGTAGGAAGCCCCCGCACCCCGGGCGCCCTCCACTGCTGTGGCGCTGAGCAGCGGCCTCCAGACCCCCAGGCCCTGGCTCTGGGCCCAGTGACGGCCATCTTCAGCAGACGGGCTTCGCAGCTGTGAGGGAGCCCAGGATCTGGGGACCCTCGGGGGTCTCTGGGAGGGTGTGGGGGCCGTGAGCCAGGTGAGGGAGTGGGCTTTGTCTCCTTCCTGCTGGGCTCAAGAGCACCGCGCTCCTGCTGGTGGCCGGGAGCACCAGGCCTCGGCTCTCCGCCAGCCCCGGGCAGAGTCTCTCTGGCTAAATCCAGGGACTGGGTGACCAGCCCCTTCGAGAGGCTCCAGGGTGCAGTCCATTCTGGGGCTGCCCATGCCTGGCCTTTCCTGTGTCCTCAGAGCCAGCAGTGCTGGTCCCCCACCTCCCTCGTGCCCACGCYCCTCACACTGACCCTCCCTCTTGTAGGAGCCCCTGACTGCACTGGGCCCCTGCCCTCTCAGGTCCCACCGTCACACCTGTAGAGTCCCCTGAGCCACCCAGGACCACGCAGGTGTCCTTGAGCCTGAGTCTAGAGTGGACACAGGGCCTCTGTGGAGAGGGAGAGCCCCTGGGAATGTCTGGGTGTGGACACAACCTGGAAAGCACCCCGTGCGGGTGTGGACGGGGACGCACTGGTGGTGACCTGGCCRGCTGCTGGGCGGAGGGGTGAAGCCTCACGCTGCAGAGGCCGCCCTGAGGGGGTCAGCCCACCTCAGAGCCCGCTGCTCAGGCCTAGATGACCGCGAGGGGGTCAGCTGGACGCCGTGGCATCCCTGATGCCTGCYGCGCCCCTGCCACAGCTGCCCCACGGAGGGCCTGCAGGTCTGTGCGCTCCCTTGCAGGAAGGCTGGTGCAGTGGACAGTCAGACGCACAGGGAAGCTGTCRGGTGGACCCTGAAGAGGGACCCCCCGTGGCCAGCTAGCCTGGGGGCGTCTCCACAGGTCAAAGGGGTGGAATGTTCTGGATTACACGGAGTCCYGAGACGTTAGCACCAAGTGCCCCGTGGGGATCAGGTTGGATGAGCAGCCTGCCAGGGGGCAGCTCAGGACAGCTGGGGAGGGAGGTCGGCCTGGACCATGGGCGCAGAGGTGGAGCACATGTGGCGGGCAGGCCAGGTGTGGAGAGGGCGACGCGTCCTGGCAGGACGGGGGCCTGGGGGCCCAGGAGCTGCAGGCGTGGGGGGCACACGGCCTCCTGCTTACAGGCTCCGGACACCACGTGCTCTGGGCAGAGGGCTGGCTCTGTGCTGCTCGTGGGGCCACCTGCAGGGCCCAGGCTTGTCCTGAGGCTGGCTGCTGGCCGACGGCCAGTGCCCAGGCCGACCCAGGGTCCCAGCTTGTCCCGGGGGCTCCCGCAGTTGCCTGGCACTTGCTTCTCATGAGGGTCAACAGTGTTCGGGGTACAGCAGGCCCATGCATCTCAGCCACTGCACTGGAGTCCCCAAGCTCAAAGGGCCGGGTGCCGTGCCCCGGGCTCCATCATGCTGCCCTTGGYGTCTGTCTGAGGGATTTCGAGGGGAGGTGGAAACAGGGACGAAGGGGCTTTCAGCAGAACCAGGGCTCAGCGGCTGCCTGGGATGGGGATCTTAAACAAAGGGAAACCTCATGTCCGGTGCCGTGACGTGAGGGAAAGAGTCTGGAGAACCCTGTCCTCACCCTGCTGGACGAGGCCGAGGTGGCTGGTGGCCTCCTACCACCCGCTCCTCGTCCTTGGCAGCAGAGGTTTGGGAAATGTGTCCAGCTGACAAGCTTCTGATTCAGTATCTCTTCTGGCTAGGAAGGACCACGTGTCTGCCTTCTGCCTAATAGGATATGGACAAGTGTTTCCAGAGGTCCAGAGTAAAGGGACATCCTTTCATGTGGAGCCTKTATTCAGGGCCTTAAGGGCCCAGACAGCTCCTTAGTGGAGAAGAGCCTTTTTTTTTTTTTTTCTTTCCTGCCATCTGTAACATTCTTATACTGGCTGGAGCTCTTGCAGTTGTTTTGGACCACGAGGCACCCCACAGGGCGAAAGCTTTGCACAACAGACCCGACAGAGAGAGGATCCGGGTTTCTGTTGACTGACATGTCACAGGGCTCCCCCCAAGGCTTGACAGTTCTGTGGTGAAGGCTCTGCCACTGTGGGCCAAACGCAGTCTCTGAGCGATTCAGCCTCAGTTAGACTTGCTTTCCCTCTTTCTTTCCTGGCCCACCTGGCCTTGGACTCGCCTTAGTGCCACCTGTCCTTGCTCTGTGAACACCTGACTCTCTGTTCTTTTCCTCTTCGTCTGTGCTCTTGCTCGGGGTTAACAGCTGCTCAGCTGTCTGTGCCTGGTGACCACGACAGTCTCCCAGGTGCCGGGTGCCACGAGAGCAGGCAGGACGCAGCCAGGCGGTCCCTGCTCCTGCAGTGGCAGGCTGAGGCCACTTAGAAACCGGAGGAGGCAGACAGCGCCCTCGAGAGCAGAGCTAAGAGCTGGACCAGCGTCCACAGGTCACCCACGTGGGAYGCAGACTCACACCAATGGACACAAACCAGACCAGGCCACCCTGAGACAGTGTGGCCCACAGACGTCCCTGGGACAGAGGGTGACATCTCCTGCCTGCCTCAGGGGAACAGCCACCACATGTCCTTTGGGTTAGTCTGTCACCTGGACCCCAAACCCAGGGACGGCACGGGGCGAGGAAGAGCGGAGGGCTCCATCGCGCAGAAAGCACAGGAAGCCGGGGATGTGGCTCAGTGGTTAAGCCCCCTGGGTCCAATCCCTGGTGCCAGACATTCACACACACACACTGTCACATACACACCCACATACATACACTCTCACACACACACACACAC